TAGGTTCAAACCAACCTGCAAATCCAGTGTTTATACTACAAGATCATGGAGACCGCAGAGGTGTAGAATTAAAGGATTTGGGGTCAAATCATTTCACATTTATTTTAGCTTTGCAGATTCTAAGAAACAGGACCTTGAATCTACGTCTAATCCCTGATGATAATCAGATTGCTTTGTTCCTAACAGAATCTTAAAACAATGTTTCTAATGGAATATAGCCAAAGGCGCTCAACCCTTCTCCTTGTGAGTGATGACTGCCTTCTCAACAGTATCTCCTGAACAAAGATCTGTGATAAGACAATTCAAAACAGAGTCCTCTAGCCCTTTATTAGAATTATGCAGTCCAAGCTAAACCTCATAAAAGTTCCTTAGTGAGTCCTCAGTGAGGTGCTCCCACTTACCCCAATTTACGTGTGTACAGATGTCTAAAGTTAACATATTTAACTTTCCTTGAGAGCTTTACTTATATAAGTTGTCTAGCTGTTATCGTGCTTGCAAAGTCGGATGCTCAATAGCTTCTGGTAAACAGATTAAACCTGACATTAAAAGCAATAAGTAAAGTAGTGCAGGCCTACATACTGCGCTTCAATGTTTGTGAGATGAAAAATGAGTGGCAGCAAGGCAATGCTACATAAAGTGGAGACTCCCAGGATGCGAACAGTTTCCACTGCACTGAAATCAGAAGGACCCTGGGCATCGCATCTCAGGACAACCAAGAGGCAGTGCGCAAGCGCAGTGCTATAGGCCACGCCTCTGTCCTTTCCAGCGCTTTCGTTTCCATCCGGGTCCTTAGGCTCCGCGCTCCCGCATTGGTCGCGGTATAACCCTGAGGTTGATGCATGTTGGTTAGTCCCACTCTTCTTGTTTCGGAAAAAACGGTGGGTCAGCGGGTGAGTCTAGGGTGGCAGAATGTCCCTGGTGTTACTGTTGTCCCCTCGAGTGGTTTTTATGTTAAGACGGGGAACGAAGGCGTATTGGGGTCCCGAGCACCTTGAGTTGGGGGTGGGTGGGGTCTTTCCTCCAAAACCTGCTTGGTTTTCGTCACGGAAATTGGATCTGGTGGCTTTCTCTTGACAGCATCCCCCACACTTGTTAGAAATTAGTAACAGTCGTTCTTTAATTTGCGTTCGTTGTAGTTTGCGGAGTGATTGGGCCCAGCAGTACCGCCTTCTGCGCAGCCACAGCCGACCTTTCAGCCGCTGCGCGCCCCCTTCCTGGTCGGAGCTTCGGAGACCTTTTCGAGTTAGGGGCAACACGGTGTACGGGATAAACTCAGCAGGGATTGTGGAAGTTGTGGCAGTACCATTTACTAGCTCTGTAACCTGGGTGTTGACTAAATTCCCTCCAGCTTTGCAATTCTGAGACTTGCATTGAGCAGCCCAAGTGATGCTCATCCAGAGTGAATCAGCACCAGAGGGGAGATGAGGAAAAGAGTGGTGTTGGGTCTTGTTTTTCAGTTTTATCTGGTTGTAAGGCCAAAGAATGGCGCCGGGGCCACAGCGGTTTGGATCTTTGAAGACTAGAAAAAGCTGGGAAGCCACGTTTATTTATTTCGATCAGTGTTCCGTAGACATTTTAGTTTCTTGTGGGTAAAGGGGCTCTGGTGGCACGTAAGTATTGGTCGGCTAACTCAAAGATCAGTGGTTCGAACCCACCAACATTTCTGCGGGAGATTCAGTCTACTCTAGTCGTAAACCACTCCATTGCAGTGGACTTGGCAATGGGTGAGTGAGGAGATCCAGACTTTTGAAGCTGAACTCTGCACCTGTTGAGAATTGATACGCAAAACAACAAACAACTTGCTTGTACTTGACGCATCTCCCAAAAAAGTTAGCTTGCCTGTTCTTTTTCTAATTTAATCTGATTATAAGAATCACTTACAATATTTGTAAAAGTACAGCTTCAGTGAACCCCATTTCAGATCTGTCGAGTCGGGTTGAGGAGCAGCTGGTGAGCTTGAACTGCCGACCTTGCAGTTCAAACAGCGTATTAACCCACATTGCTACACCAAGACTCCCAAAGTAAAATGGAGCAGAAAGTCTCATGTTTTATTCACAGTCCCCCTGGCAGTTTCAAACTGTAGACCTTCAGATTCACGGCCCGACTCACAACCACTATGTTACCAGAGCTTCCCTATTTGTTGTTGTTGTTGTTAAGTGCCATCGAGTCGGGTCCGACCCATAGCGACCCTGTACAGGGTTTCCGAGGGTGTAAATCTTTACGGGAGTAGAAAGCCTCATCTTTCTCCCGCGGAGCGGCTGGTAGTTTCGAACCGCTGACCTTAAGGCTCGCAGCCCGATTCGTAACCACTACGCTACCAGAGCTCCTTTCCCTATTTGTTAGGGGGTCTGGAAATCTGTGTTTTTAATAAGCACCTTAAGGAGCCTTTGTCGTGTTGTAATATAAGCGCTGAATTGCTAACCTCAGGTTCGGCAGTTCAAACCCACCAGCCACATTATTCAAGATTTACAGCCTTGGAAATACATGGTTTCTGTCAATCAGAATTGACTTGATGGCAGTAGGTTTGGTTCTATAGCTTTAAATGATTCTTACTAATAAGGCACTTTATGACTAATAATGCACTTTATGAAAGCTTAACATTAGAAGCATGAGTATTTGAATGATGAGATACACTTTTTAAATTTTTAGTTCATTCCATCACTTAATCCATTTGTAATATGGGCAGTGAACTTCTCAAGAGTCTCTCAGTTTTGGTATCTGAATAACAAGAATGTTAATTTCTACCTCAGACACTATTATTTTAGTCCTTTAATGTCTGTTTCTTGTGTGGTGCTATGGGTTAATGTGCTTAACTGCAAAGTCAGTTTGAACCACAGGGTTGGCCGTTCCAGCTCACCAGCTGCTCCTTGGAAACAGTGTCGCTATGGGTCAGAACCTACACCCTACACGACAGCACTTAACAATGGCAACAATATTTATCTTTTGTGTCTACAAAATCTTGCATAGTATTTGGTATTTACCATCGGAAATGTTTTGAATGAGCTAAATAGCATGTAAAATATCTGCAGCAGAGACGATACTTCGGAAAGCTCTATATCTCTTCCCCTTCTTCCTTCCCTTTTGATATTTTTGTTAATCGTTTTACAATGAATCTTATTAGCAATGAATCATTTGATGGTCATAACAGTAAATATTCTTGATTCTTTTGAAATTCCTTCAGCTGTTGAATTATTGGTGAATTCAAATGGAGGCCAAGTCCCTTTGTTGAACTGCATTTTTTACTTTTTGCATAAATTATCAATGAATGCTCTTGCTCTTTTGTAAGTGTACCAAAATTCTGTATCATTATGTTCTTAAAAACATCATTTGTTGTCGTTGTTAGGCTCCATGTGGTCTTTTGCTTTGTAATAAGACTGAATTTATCAATTTAAACAATTTGATTTATTATTCTATGTAAAGCATGTGGATAAATAACTCAGGAATGTTGAAGTGCTTTTGTAAAAGGATTGGTATTGAGGTTGATCCATTTAAATAGAAAACCTAAGAATTAAAATCTTGGAATTATGGTTTAAAGTACACTATATTAATGTTATAAATCAAGATTTATATAAAAGGCACTGTAGGATAAGCACTTGACTGTTAAGCTGGTTTGAACTGCAAGATTGGTGGGTCAGATGCACCAGCAGCTTCTCTGAAACCCTAAACAGGGTCGCTATGAGTCAAAACTGACTTGTTGGCACATAACAACAACAATATGTCTTAAAGAAAGAGCCTTTATGATGCAGTGATTAAGGGCTCAGCTGCTAACCAAAAGGTGGATGGTTCAGTGGTGGCTCTGGGGTTAAAAAATGACTGATCACTTATCTGCATCATCATTTTTCTTGTTGTTTTTAAGTGCCATTGAGTTAGTTCGGACTCATAGTAACCCTATTATATGGTTTCTGAGGAACAGCTAGTGTGTTTGAACTGCAGACTTTGTTGTTTGCAGCCCAATGCTTATCATAGAGCACGAAACCGGAAGTCATTTTTCTTACCCTTAGGAAAAAACCTTCTTTTTCCTCTCCAAGGTTAGCAGTTTTTGTAGTTTGCTTTACTTTGTTTGTAAATTTTGTTGCATTCAAGTAAAATTAAATGTTTTCATTAAAAATAGAGTGTCTAGTATGTTCCTGTTGTTATAAAATTATCTGTGTATCTTACCTGCTTATATGTTGTTGTTGTTGTTGTTGTTAAGTGCTGTCCAGTTGGTTCCTACATAGTGACCCTGTGTAGGGTTTCCAAGCAGCGGCTGGTGAGTATGAACCGCCAACCTTGCAGTTTAAACCAGCCTCGTGGTCGAGTGCTTATCCTATAGCACCACACCAGGACTCCACGTATGTTTGTGTTGAAAATTATATCTTTGTGATGAAATTTGGGTTCTGTTTTTTTTTTCTCTCTCTGTGGCTTTTTGTATTAATTGAAATTTTTACTATGAACATAATTTTTCACAAAAACACTTTAATAATAAAATTTAGCTGTTACATTCTTTATATGGAGAGTTCTAGATTTGAATAAGTAACTCCTAAGTTGTTGATTAATCATTAATATAATTAATTTGCAATGATAAAACGAATACTACTCTGTTTGCCTTTAGGCGTGGTTTATGTTTGATTAGTAAGATATGTTGTCCCTGTAGAAGCCATATGGTGTATTGTCTTTATAATCAGTTAGTTTTGTTTTGCATTCTGCTACTTCTTGCGAAACCTCAATAAAGTTCTGTGATTCCCTTTCCTTATGTACTAAAACTGGCAGTTATGTTTATTTCAATAAGACAATTCATACTCTTTGTAAATAATCTTTGTAACTTATAAATATTAATGTTTGCATTTATATGGCTTAGAATCCAGGGTCTACTCAAAAGAACAACTATTATTACTGTTTAAACGTGCAGATGTGACTGTACGTATGCATGCCCTTTATAAACTTATCAGTATATTATACTTTTGTTTGTCATTGTGTAAATTACTTAAAACAATTCTACAATGGACTTTTTTCAGGATTGAACTTCTTTTCCTGGAAGCTGTGCATCATCATAATGAGACTTGTAATTCTTGATAACTATGACTTGGCTAGTGAATGGGCAGCCAAATACATCTGTAATCGCATCATTCAGTTCAAACCTGGACAGGACAGATATTTTACTTTGGGCTTACCAACAGGTAATAAACAACTTTTCCATTTTAGATAATTAAGATGGCAGGACTGTAGGCCTACTTTTAGTAAAATATTTTACCTATTTGTATCTTGCTTTAGTGTTGCTTAATCATGTTACTGTATAACAAAAAAAAAAAAAAAAAAAATCAGAAATGTGTATATTTAGTGCCTAAATTTAGTTCCTATTTTCTTGTATTCCATTTCTACCTCACCTTGTTGTTAAGTGCTGTCGAGTTGGTTCTGACTCTTAAACTGTATAAGTATTCCAAGGAGTGGCTGGTGGATTTGAACCATTGACATTTTGGCTAACAGTCCAGTGCTTATCCTACAGTGCCATATCACGACGCCTCTAGCTCACCTACCACTCTAAAATGCAATAGCTGAAATGATTATCATAGTATTTTTGTAACTTTCTATAGTGATCTTTAAGGAGCTCTGGTAGCATAGTGGTTGCGAATCGGGCTGCTAACCTAGGGTCAGAAGTTCTAAACTACCAGCTAACCCATGGGAGAAAGATGAGGCTTTCTGTTTCTGTAAAGATTTTCAGCTCGGAAACCCTGTACAGGGTCTCTATGAGTCAGAATCGACTCCACGGCACACTACCACCACTATAGTGATCTTTGTTTGCTTTTAGGTGTATTGCTTTCTCAGTTTATATGTTTTCTTTCTGATAGCATAGATGAATCGGGCTGCGAACCTTAAGGTCAGCCGTTCGAAACTACCATCTGTTCCTCGGGAAAAAGATGAGGCTTTCGGCTCCTGTAAAGATTTACAGCCTCGGAAGCCCTGTACAGGGTTGTTATGAGTCGAAACTGACTCCACAGCACATAACAACAACAAATTATATGCTGTAGTACTGGTATCACCGTGGGATAAGTACTAGAGTGCTAACGTTGGCAGTTCAAACACACCAACTGGTCCGTGGGAGAAAAGATTTACTGCCTTGGAAACCCTATACTGGGAGGCTATGAGTCGGAACTGACCCCATGGCATCTAAAAATAACAACAAAATATGCACTGTTATTAATTTTACTTCATCTGTCTTATATTCTGTTAATTTATTATTGTTTTAGTATTTGTATGTTTATTTTCCTTCCAGAAGTTTTATAAGTGAAACATTTGAAGACTTGTTATGTCTTTATCATAGAATGAACAAAGCACTAATTACATATTTTACTGGGTTTAGTTCTGTTAAGGATTCTTTTCAAATATAAACATAGTGTCTTTGATCTTATAGTACTTTATTTGATATAGTAGACTTTTGACTTCCACAGGAGAATTTATGTACTTGAACCAGAGCTGCTAGTTTCTTGGTGGCAACAAACCATTTTACTCTATATTCCTGAACCTTGGTTACCCTTCCTGTAAGATAAGGATGATGGTGCTGTTTTGAGGTTCAAATACTTGAATATTGTAAATGCTATGTTAATTTTAAGTTTCCATAAGGGTATTTTATTTTAAAAGAATATTTTTTCCTCCTATTCTCCTTCTGGACATGCTAACTATATTCAAGTTACAAATCATCATTTTTTTTCAATCGTGGTAATTTCCATGAATAGTACTTCTTAGCAGATCATATTGCTTTTTGTGTGTGTTGTTTTGTTTTGTTCCAGGGCAGTAGATGTGGGTTGCAGTGGTACTTCCCTTACTGTGTCCATATATGATATAGGATTCTTGGTGGCTAAACTTGGGTTTTGTATAAATGTGCATATTGTAAATCTGAATTACACTCAAGATAGTTGCTCTAATAACTTCATTTTAAATATAATGCAGAAATAAACAGTGGTGTGAGTGTAGGGGTAGAAAGGTGTCAGAGTTATTAATGCCAATAGTGCTAAACATGTGTTTGTATATGTAGGTCTATATCTTAGTCTGCTGTAATTTAGAGAACATTTATGCAGGGTCACTGTGAGTTGGAACCAACTCAGTGGTGTATAGCAGTAGTACACCTACCAAGGCAGTATTTCTGGAAAACTTTTGTTGCCATTTTTTACTGTTGTCCTTTCTTGACCAATGACAGTGTTAGTTGCACCTGTTCACCCATTGCTTTTGACTTCTGAACATACATATCTGTAATTACAAGTACTATGCTGTATTATTATTATCCCACCACCAAGCACAGTTTCTCCTCCATAGGAGGTCTAGTGACACAGTGGTCAAAGCACTCAGCTAGCACTAACTGAAAGGTGTGTTGTTTGAATCTACAAGCTACTCAGAGGGAGAAAAATGTATAGTCCACTTCTGTAAAGGTTTACATCCTTGGAAACCCTATGGGACAGTTCTACTCCGTCTCCTAGGGTGACTACGAGTCAGAATTGACTTGATGGCAATAGGTTTTGGTTTTGGTGTTTGCTCAATATATATACTTAATTGAAGTGATTTTAATGAGCCTGACACTTAAGCACTTGCATGCTGTAGGCCTGACTTGCCTCTCAGCTATACCTTCTACCACCCTCTTCTACTGCATCATTCTAGGCAGATTGGACTGCTTATAGATAAAAAATTAAGGCAGGAAGTTGGTGGCTTCTTTACTTTTATTCATGTTACTAGCATATAATAGAAGGAAAAGTATATGAGCTTTGAAAACCCACAGATCTAGATTTGAATCCTTGGCTTCACTGCCCTGTGACATTTGGGAAATTTCTTACTATTTTTGACCCAATTTTCCCAGCTTCAAATTGAGAAAGTTAGTGGGAGACTCCCAAGGTTGTTAGGTTTGCATGAGGTAACATATAACATCAGCACAGCATCTAGCAGATGATAGGCATATAGATGGCATCTCTGAACCTCCTTCTTTTCCTTGTTCTTGAGACATTGCTCCCTACCCATCTTTGCTCTTTGGAATTCCGCTCCTTCAATAAGCAGTTGAATAAAGTCACCTTTTTTGATTTCTCCTCTGGTAGACTTTTCTTCTTTGGTTCACTGCAAATACTCCCGACTTTTAGATTATTTACTGTTTTTTCTTGTGTCATGGTTATTTTATATTTATTTTAGTCCTGTTTTGTGAGTTCTTCTAAGACAGAACCATAGTTTTTGTTGTTGTGAAGTTCCGATTCATAGCAACCCTGTATACCATTTCCAGGGAGTGGCTGGTGGGTTTGATTTGGTTAGCAGTCCAGTGATTATCCTACAGCATCACACCAGAACTCCATTGTATTAGTACTATTTTGTGAGTTCTTCCAAGAAAGAACCATAGTAGACCCTTGTTGAATATTGGTTGTGTGCATAAGTATTACAAAGCATATATTAAAATGAAATGTCTTAACCAGTTTACCCTGTGCCATACCTTTGTTGTTTTTCATTCTTTTAGGCACTTTGATTAAAATGTAGAAAATGAAAGTGTTCTTTGTCATCACCATTGTAACAACTTCTCACTTTTTATTCACACATCATTAAATAAATGAGGGAACCCTGTAACTATTTTCTTGACACTGAAAGATACCAGACAGATTTCTTTATGCTTCTAAATAAGAAGAAGGGAAAACATGTTGCTACCTGCAGTTGAGTCGGTTCTGACTCATAACCACCCTATGCACAAAGAACGAAACACTGCCTGGTCTGCACCATCCTCACATTTGTTATGCCGGAGCCCATTGCTCCTGCCACTGTGTCCATCTTATCTCCGTGGGGGTCTTCCTATTTTTCATTGATCCTCCACTTTACTAAGCATGATGCCCCTCTCCAGGGACTGGTCCCTTCTAATAGATACATGTCAGAAGTGTGAAAGATGAAGTCTTTCCTTTTTGGCTTTTAAGTAGCATTCTGGTTGTACTTCTTCCAGTACAAATTTGCTTGTTTTTCAGGCAGTCAGTGATAGATACTTTTAATGTTCTTCTCTAATACCATAATTCAAACGCATAGATACTTCTATGATTTTCGTTATTCACTGTCCAACTTTCACATGTATATGAGGGTATTGAAAATACCATTGCTTGGGTCAGGCCCACTTTAGTCCTCAAACTGACATGTTTGCCCATGAACACTTTAAAGAGTTCTTGTCCAGCAGATTTGCCTAATGCAATACATCATTTGATTTCTTGACTGCTACTTCCATGTTGATTGTGCACGAGAACAAAATGAAATCTTTGACAACTTCAGTCTTTTCTCCATTTTTTATCATCATTTATTGGTCTAGTTGTAAGCATCTTTGTTTTCTTTATGTTGAAATGTAATCCATACTGAAGGCTGTGATCTTTGATCTTTGTCAATAAGTGTTTTAAGTTCTCTTCTCACTCAGCACGCAAGGTTGTGCCTTTGGCATATCTTTCGTTGTTAATGATTCTTCTCTCCAATCTTGATCCCATGTTCTTCATATATTCCAGCATCTCGTGTTAGTTTCTCAGTATACAGATTGAATAAATATGGTGAAAGATACTATCTTGGTACACATCTTTCCTGATTTTAAACTATTTGGTGTCCTCATGTTCTGTTTGAATATGATTAACTCTTGATCTGTGCACTTGTTCCTTATGAGCACAGTTAAATGTTCTGGAATAGCCATTCTTCACAATGTTGTCCGTAGATTGTCATGATTCACATAGTCGAAGGTCTTTCCATAGTCAGTATAGCACAGGCAAGCATCTTTCTGGTATTCTCTGCTTTCATCTAAGATCCATCTGACATCAGAAGGGATATCCCTAGATCCATGTTATCTTCTGAATCTGGCTTGAACCTCTGGCATTTACCTCTCAGTGTACTGTTAAAGCCATTTTTGAATTATCGTCAGCAAAATTTTAGTTGCATGTGGTATTAATGATATTGTCCAATGATTTTTGCATTCCGTTTGGTCACCTGTCTTTAAATGGGTACATTTCAAATATCAATTGATTTTATAAAGCATATAAAGGAATCACATTATAAATTAATAAAACTAACAAAGTGCAAGAAGTATTAAAAAGCCAAGATCCCAGTTCCTAGAGATCCTCTCTAAAATCACTTATATCGTTCTGCATTTTCCTTTCTTTCTTACTTTACATTATACATTTCAACAGAACCAAGCTGAAGGTAATATAAAATAGGCTTTTTACAATTAAAAAATCTTAATAGCTTAAGTTCTTCACTTAATCCTTGCCAGTTTCAGAAAATATTTTGAAAGTAAGGGCAGTATTTAATGTAGCTCCGGTGTCCCCTTTGATTTCACTAAGTGGTCAGCATTTGGTATATTTGCGTATCATTTATACTAGAAATCCCTCTGAATAATAAAGTTTTTTCTTTTTTTTTCCCACAAAAAGTTAGATGTTAATTTTTCTTTTAAATACACTCTTGTAATTTATAATAGTGATTTGAAATATTCAACAATTCAAGAATAGTTTTCCAAACTATAATTTTTAATGATAGATTTTAGGTTTATTCAGCAAATTCTATAAATCATACATTTTTTTCAACAGTTAATTTCTCTGATTAATATTTTTTCCATCAAATGGAAGAAATTAAAAATAGACTAAATGGTTCAGTATATATTTGTTAATTGAATATGTATCTAAAGAAGTAATTGCATAATAAATTTGAAATATAGAATAATTGTTAACAAAGAAAGTATAAAGATAAAAACTCTTTAAAAATCGATTTTCAAGTTATGTTAGAAAGCATAATCTTTTTTTTAATCTGTTTTAGGGAGTACGCCTTTAGGCTGTTATAAAAAACTGATAGAGTACCACAAGAACGGAGACCTTTCTTTTAAATATGTAAAGACTTTTAACATGGATGAATATGTAGGTAAGCTGTATTTGAGTATACCAAATATATTATTTGAAAATATTTTACATTTTTAATAAAATAAGAATATTTCTAAAATATGATACTCTGCTTTGAGATGAGGTTGAGAATTTATGTAACAATCTTTATTTTTGTGATGTATAGTGTGGAAGGCTAGAGAAATCAGATCTCTATTCATCTTGGGCTCTGCCACTTACCACTTGTGTAACTTGGAGCAAATCTAACACATTTCTGTCACTCTGTTTTTTCTAAGTCTTACAGCAGGATTAAGACCAGTATTGTGATAAATTAAGCAATGTGTATGTAAAAGCAAACTGTAAAATACTTCTCAAATACAACATATATATCAAGCCTTGAAGCTTTTCTACTATATTGGCTTAACTGGAAAGAACTATGATACATGGAAACTCTGCTAAAATTCAAACCTGGAATGTATTTTCAGTGTGCACTGGAGGATTATTGGCTAGAGCTCTAGTAGCATAGTCGTTACTGATCAGGCTGCCAACCTCAGAGTCAGTAGTTAAAATTACCAGCTGTTCCGTGGGAGAAAGATAAGGCTTTCTGCTCCTGTAAAGATTTACAGCCTCGGAAACCCTGTACAGGGTTGCTATGAGTTGGAACCAACTCCATGGCACAATAACTACCACCACCACAATATACGTTAAGTGACAGTTGTTTTATAGACAATGATAACATAGATAATAGCCGGAGAATTGTTGTAATTCACTATACTTTGCGTGCATGTAAAAATAGGGACTCCTGGTGTGTCACAGTCAGATTATTACTGGACATTGAACCACAAGGTCATCAGTTCAAACCCTCAAGCTACTCATTGAAAACCCTATACAGGGTCGCTATGAATTGGAACCAACACAACAGCACAACAACAGCAGGAAGAATAGAGGAGGAAGAATACAGGCCAACATTTCAGTTGAATGTTTGTTTAACTTAAATTGAACTTAACACATGAATCAGTTCCATTGGTTACTATTTTGTGTATTTGAGGGTACAAGTGATACTACAGAGAACTGGTGTGAGCCAAGGCAGCGGGGGTGTTGAAGGCAAGAGGAAGCAAAGCAAAGATGGAGAGATCAAGAAGGCTGGCTCAGATGGTCACATACCAGACAGCTCCATGGAGACCCCTCCCTTCTCAATCAAGTCTCAGACCCATTCTGTGTCTGCCGACCCCTCATGTAGACTCGACTAGGGGCCAGGGGCCTGAACCTGCCATCTGGAAGACTCTAGGGCAGTGGCTGAATGCAGACCTGAGGGGTCATGGTTGGGGCCAACAAGATGGCCCAGGCCCCCCTTCCCCATGTCCCAGCCCAAGCCCCTGAAGAGCCAGCCCTTCCCCGTACAGCCTGGGCCTCCCAGAGGATCCTTGCTGGGGACCCAGGAATGAAGATGGCCAGCTGAGGCCACGGCCTCTCTCGGTGGAGCTAAGAGCAGTGTCTGTGCATGAGGACCAGCTCCAGGCCCCTGATGAGTGGCCCCTATGGCTGCAGTGCTCACCTCTCCTCAAGTGCAGGCCAAAGCTTAAGGTGCCCCTGTCACCAAGCCTAGGACCTGGACCTGAGCCTCTGTCCCAGCACCCCACAGATCCCTCCAACCCTGAGCAGAACCTGTCCTTCCCAGCCACAGACCAAAGAGGTGGCGGTCCCAACCCCTGACCCTCTCCCCTCCTGCCACATGAGATTATTTTATTAAAAAACTCACACAACGCTGAAAAAAAAAAAATTGTGGAGTGTGTAAGTGCGCATACACTAGTCTATGTTTGAATCCTAACCCTCTATGATCCCTTGTGACTTTGGGGAATATGTAAACTTTTCTGTTCTTCAACTGATGATATATAAAATGAGAATGATAATAGTATTTCTAAAGATATACATTGAGAAGTATGAGTATTCTAGAACGCTTAATTGTACTTCTGAGAAATCTGTTACCTAGACCAAGTAGCAGTTGTTCGAACAGAACATGGGAACATTGAATGTTTTAAAATTGGGAAAGCTGTGAGACAGGGTTGTATTCTTTCGCCATACTTATTCAACCTGTATGCTGAGCAAATAATACAAGAAGCTGGGTTCTATGAAGAAAAACGTGGCATCAGAATTGGAGGAAGACTCATTAACAATCTGCGATATGCAGATGATACAACCTTGCTTGCTAAAAGTGAAGAGGACTTGAAACATTTACTTATGAAGATCAAAGAGCACAGCCTTCGATATGGATTACATCTCAATGTCAAGAAAACAGAAATCCTCATCACTGGACCAATAAACAACATTCTTATCAATGGAGAAAAGATTGAAGTTGTCAAGGACTTCATTCTTCTTGGGTCAACTATCAACACTCGAGGAAGCAGCAGTCAAGAGAACAGACAACATATTGCATTGGGCAAATCTACTGCACAGGGACTTTTTAAAGTATTGAAGAGCAGAGATGTCAGCTTGAGGACTAAGGTGCGCCTGACCCAGGCCATGGTGTTTTCAATAGCCTCATGGATGCGAAAGCTGGACAGTGAATAAGGAAGATCGTAGAAGAATTGATGCCTTTGAGTTGTGGTGTTGGAGGAGAATACTGAGGGTGCCATGGACTGCCAAAAGAACCAATAGATCTGTTTTGGAAGAAGTGCAGCCAGAGTGCTCCTTGGAGGCCAGGATGGCTAAGCTTTGTCTCTCATACGTTGGACATATTGTCCAGAGGAAACAGTTGCTGGAGAAGGATGTCATGCTGGGTAAGGTGGAGGGTCAGAGAAAAAGAGGAAGACCCCTAACGAGATGGATTGGCCAGATGGCATCATTGATGGACCCAAGTGTGGCAGCGATAGTGAGGTTGGCCCAGGATCGGACATTGTTTCGTTCTGCTGTGCATGGGGTCGCTATGAGTCGGTTCCGACTCGATGGCACCTGACAACAACATACATATTAGCAGATTTAATACATCATGTAAAGCAATTAGGAATCAATACAACCAAGATTGAAAGGGCCAGGTAGGTAGCTTGTTAAAAGAGTGCAATCAATCTAGCTTTCCAGTTTTGAGTGAAAATGAAAAAAATATAGCTAATTTGAGAATATAATGCTCAGCATATAATAAACATATGTACCACATGAAATGTTTTTAAATTGAATATGATATATTGTTACGTCCTGTTGAGTTGGTTCCAACTAATAGTGATTCTTTGTAGGTTTTCTGAGGAATGGTGGATGGGTTTGAACCATTGACCTGTGATTATCAGTTGAGTACTTACTGTATGATGACACACCAGGTTTTTGGAATGTGGTGTGGTGGTGGTGGTTATGTGTTGTGGGGTCAGTTCTGACTCATAGTGACTCTGTATAGGGTTTTTGAGGCTATAAATCTTTATAGGAGCAGAACGGCTGACCTTGAGGTTAGCAGCCCAACTTATAACCACTATGCTTCCAGCAGTCCTTTGAATATGGTATAGGGTGTCCTAATAATTTAAGTAAAATTTATAGATTAATGAGAAAAATAAACTGTAGATTTGCTTTTGGAAATAATTACAATTTTATTTATTACTTTCATGTTTAGGCCTTCCCAGAAATCATCCTGAAAGCTATCATTCTTATATGTGGAATAATTTTTTTAAGCATATTGATATAGATCCTAGTAATGCTCATATCCTAGATGGAAACGCTACAGATTTGCAGGCAGAATGTGATGCATTTGAAAAGAAAATTAAAGAAGCTGGAGGAATAGATCTTTTTGTAGGAGGTATGTACAATGTTTTGTTAATATATCAAATATTTGTTAATATTTGAATTAGATATTACAAAATTAGAATAACTAAAATCTTTTACCACAGGGCAATGTAAATATCAGTGACTGCTTATAATACCTATTTATCCAAATAGGATTTCTACTTTAATTTTTTTTTTTAATTTAAAAATTGTAATAGCTGTGATTAATTGAAATATGTTTGATAGGTAGCTCTTGATCTTCGTTAAACTCCTGATTTTACCCATTTAGAATATGTTTCCAGTCCTCAGTGATGACTTCATGCTTTTAATATTTCTATAAAATACCAACCTATCCTGCTTATCAAATTACAGTATTGGACCTCCAAAAATTTGCTAAGGAACAAGTGAATTTTAATACTACTTTACTGGTCACTTAAACTGTTCATCTCACTGAGAAGTCAGTTAGGGATGATGTAAGACTTAATATTCTTTATTAACTTTTAAACTAGATTTTATGGAGTCGATTATGACTCACATTGACCCCATGTATGACAAAATGGAAGTGTGTTCCGTAGGATTCTCAGTGGATGATTTTTGAAAGTATGTCATTGAGTGGACTTGAACCTCCAACCTTGTAGTTAGCAACTATTATAATTGTCTTTATAAAATCCAAAGTGAATGCGTGTTTAGTTGACCAAATTCCACTTGTGAATAATATATAAATAACCCCACTGTTACTGAGTCGATTCCGACACTGAATAGGGTTCCTTAGGCTGTAAATCTTTATAGGAGCAGAAACTCTCATGTATCTCTTGCAGAGTGACTGATGGGTTTGAACTGCCCATCTTATTCTTAGCAATCCAGTGCATATTAGGAGTCCTGTGCTTACCTTACATCACCACCAGGGTTCCTTAAGTAAAATATATGTGTGGGCCCAGTCAAGCCATGATATTATCAGTAGCTTCATATGCATGTGAAAGTTAGACAATAAATAAGGAAGACCGTAGAAGAATTGATGCATATGAGTTAGGGTGTTGGGAAAGACTAGTGTAAGTACCATGGACTGCTAGAAGAACAACAATCTGTATTGGAAGAATTACAAAGAGAATACTCCTTGGAATCAAGGATGGGTGAGACTATGTCTCGCATACTTCAGGTATATTTTCAAGAGGAATCAGTCCATAGAGAAGAGCATCATGCTTGGTGAAGTGGAGGCTTGTAGAAAAAAGGGAAGACCCTAGTGAGATAGATTGGAACAGTGACAGTAGCAATGGACTCAGTGTTAACAACAATTGTGAAAATGTCACAGGACCGTACAGTGTTTCATTCTGTTGTGCATAGGGTTGCAATGAGTCAAAACCAATTTGACAGCATGTAGCTCTGGTAGCATAGTGGTTACGAATCCGGCTGCGAGCCGCAAGGTCAGCATTTCGAAACTGCCAGCTGTTCCATGGAAGAAAGATGAGGCTTTTTGCTCCCGTAAAGATTTACAGCCTCAGAAACCCACCCTATGCAGGGTCACTATGAGTCGAAACTGACTCCACGGCACATAACAACAAACAACAATAAGTAGCAACAATATATATCAAGGTCATATGTGACGCAAACAGATAAGCACTTGACTACTTGCTGAAGGTTTTAACCCCCCCAGAAATGTCTCAGAAGACAAGCCTGTCAGTCAGATTCAGAAATGTCTCAGCTTTGAAAAACCCAGTAGAACGGTTCTACTCTGCACACACAGTATCACCATGATTTGTAATCATGAATATTATTTATATACACACACACTTTAAAACATGAGGCTCTTCTTTTAAATAAACAATTTAACATTTGTAATGAAAATTTTTACATTAGATACATAACTACCATTGAAAAGAGTAAAAAGAGTTTTTTGTATGATTTCCTGTCATAAGTAGAAGCAGGAACAGGTAGTTAATTACCACCAGAATAGTATAACGTGAACTAAGCCAAAACCAAAATTGCTTTTGGTACATTCTTTAGTATTCAAGTAAAAATACTAAAGCTTTGAGTTAACACTCAAAGTTTTCTGGATATGTCTTATAATGAATTTAATACAAAGCAGCTCTTAATTACATGGATTAGAGCTTCAATAGAGCTTTCTTTTTTAAGCTTTTAAATTGCAAACTGAGTGAACATTTCCTGAAAAGATCATCAGTTTCATGTTCAACAAATCATGCACTTTGTTTCATTTTGATGATTGCCATCATCTCCGTGCAACAACAGTTATCCCACTTCTCTGTGCTTCTTATATCCATTCCACCTTCCTTGGTATCCTTTTTTAACTTTGTCCATAAGTAAATGTTGCCCTTTTGATCTTGAATGAAGGACTATCCCATGCTGAAAACACTTTACTAGTGTTGTTGTCCCCCTTAATTATGTTCTAAACCTGAACAACGGTTGAGGACCATGATCTTTTTTTTTTTTTTTTTTAAAGTAAGTTTTGTTCCACATTTTCTCTCACTCTGTCTTTTCTAACATGATCCCTTTCAGAACTTTTGATAGTGGTAACCTGACACCATCTAGTTCTGGTGTCAGAGTCATGGTAGCTGATATTCACCTGCTCCATTGGTTCACTGGAGTAGTTGATTCCACACATCTTCAATTTTCATCACTCTTCTTTCTTCAGCACATGGAGAGACCAACAGTTCCACCTTACATGGCCACTCACGACCTTTAAGTCCTCAGTGGCTACTCACCAAAATAGAATATAGAACATTGTCTTTGTGGACTTGTTCAATGTCATTGAGTTGCTTCTGTCTCATAGCAACCCTGTGTAGGGTTTCGGAGGAAAGACTGGTGAGTTTGAACCATCTACCTTGTAGTTAGCATTCCAGTGTTTATCCTGCAGTGCCGCACCAGGCTTTCCTTTGTGGATTATGTTATGAAGATTGACCACGGTGTCTCCTGAGACTATGGTCCTGAGCCTGCTGTCCCAGGAACCCATTTCCGTAAGGTGTTTGATGTTATCTAAGAAGTTTTCATCATCCCCCCTACCACCACCCCTCCCCCTCCCCCGCATTCTCCACCACTTGCATATGTATGTTTGCAGCAAAGGTAAATACCTATGTACAAATGGCCTTTTTCAAGTCCTTATTTATTTGTGGGTATACCCTACTCCTCCATCCCATACCTGTTCAGCGTTTGTCCATCTACCTACAGAACATTGTTGTTCCAGGGTTGTGTATAAAACACTATTTATCTCTATCCCCTTTAACCCTTGCATACCTCCTTGTGTCTTCACCTGTATTCATCATTCTTAGTAGAACTTCACTGTATTTAATCTCTGATTAAGTTGGTCAGTATGTTGTTGTTAAGTGCTGTGCCCTCAGTTCCGACTCACAGTTACCGTGTATAGGGTTTCCGAGGCTTAAATCTTTGAGGGAGTAGAAAGTAGAAACATACATAAATTTGCATCCAGTTTCTATTACTTACCGTGTGTATGGCCTTGTAATTTGTGCAATTAAGTCATCAATGAAAGAGTTAATATTTAACATTCCAGAATTGTTAGAATTAACTGTGTAAAATGCCTCTCATAACTAACTCCTTAAGTATAACTGGAAATAGTTTCTTTTCTCATGTTCAGTCCTCTCTTTTTCTTGGAACTTTTGATGCTTTTAAGAGTTTTCAAATTTTCAAATTCATTGAACTAAGGAAAGAATAGTTTTTCTTTAGTTCTTTGAATTGCCTGTTCCGGGTTTAACTGAACTACCTTTACTAGAATTCTCTTTAAATTTTCCATTCTTTAGCTCTTTCTAAACTGTGTATCATCATCAAGTAGAATTACTGGAAGAAAGTATACCTAGGAGCTCAGGTAACATAGTGGTTACGAGTCAGTCTGCCAACCTCAAGGTCAAACGTTTGAAACTACCAGAGGTTCCACAGAAGAAAGATGAGACATTCTGTTCCCACAAAGATTTACAGCCTCGGAAACCCTGTGCAGGGTTTTTATAGGTCACTATAAGTCGGAACAGATTCCACAGAACTTAACAACAACAACAACATTATACGTAGATTGTTTATTTTAATTATATCAAGAAACAGTTTCATTGATACACCATTATGCAAAAAAGAGACAAGAAGGTATTAATTGTTGTTGTTAAGTGCTGTGTCTGCATGTTTTTCTCCCCTCTTTTCCAGTTGAAGATTTTTCTTTTCGCCCCTTAGTTTGCTAACCTTAGATAAGGATCCATGGACAGATTTCTTAGAGATGTCAGTACCAGCAAATAGCCTTTAATGGGAGAAAAAAAACAGACAACAGAAACTTATAGTAACTTTCTAACTCCATTTTATACTTTAAATTGCTTTCCAGAAAGTATTTGTAGATTAATGTAATGCTTAATGTTGTTGTTGTTATTAGGTTTCATCTATAGTCCTAACACACAGTGACCCCTATACACAATAGATTGAAATACTGCCAGGTCCCGCACCATTCTCACAGGTATTCTTATGTTTGAGCCCACTGTTGATGCCATTGTGTGACTCCATCTTGTTGTGGGTCTTCCTCTTTTTCACTGACCCTCCATCAAGTATGCTGTCCTTCTCCAAGGACTGGTCCATCAACAACTTTATCCAATGAATGAGAGGTAAAGTTTGGCCACCTACATATCTAAGGAACATTCTGACTATACTTATCCAAAATAGATTTGTTTATTTTCTGTCACTCCATCCTATTTTCAATATTCTTTATCAATGCCGTAATTCAAATAAATGAATTCTTCTATAACTTTCCTTATCCAGTGTCAAACTTTAGCATACTTATGAGGCCACTGAAAATACTGTGACATGGGTCAGGCTAACCTTAGCCCTCAAACTGACATCCTTACTCTTAAACACATTAAACAGATTATTTGCAATGATTTCCTAATACAATGCATCTTTTGATTTGTTGGCTGCTGTTTCCATGAATTGATTGTGGGTGCAAATTAATTGAAGTCTTTGAAAACTTTAATAATTTCTACATTTATCTTGATGCTATGTATTGATCCAGTTGTGAGGATTTTTGTTTTCTTTATG